TGACAAGTGGTCCTTAGACTTCCCCTGAGGAGTCCATTGTACAAGAAAACATGGAGAACCCTTGACCTAGTGTAACATTTTTGTCTTCCAAGTGAAGAAACTAAGGCAAAGTATTTTCCCAAAGCCTCATGGCTTATCCATTGAGACAGGACTGGAGCCCTTGGCTCCTGGTTCTTTTTTGGGGCTCCCCTCACAATGTGGCACCTTTAAACCCCTACACCCCACCTCTTCTCAGCACCAAACACGTGATGACTCAACAAATATTGTTTCCAAAGGTTGGGATTTGGACCTAAGGTGTGACTCCCTAACCCGTTAACTATCCAGATTCTTTCTGGAGGTGGCTTAATGAGCTTCCTTCTTCTTGATCCATTTGTCATCTTCTACCTGGCCCTGAGTAGAGCACAGTGGCTTCCCTGCTCATTCAGGCCCAGGAGACCAATAGCAATAACAGTAACAATAATGGCACCCTTAACTGAGGACTTACTCTGCATTAGGCACTCTGAGCTTTATTTATTTATACCTCACTTCATCCACAAAGAGGCATTATCCCCATTTTATAGATAATAAGGTTCATAAAAGTTAAGTGATTTGTCCAAGGCCACACAGTCAGTTGCATCAAAGACCCAGGTTCTTCTGATGGGTTCAATTACAAGGAGGTTGCTGCTGGGGCCAGAGGTAGGGAGACAGCCAAGGAATAGTGTCTCCCAGGTTTGAAGGACACAGTGACTTGTTGCTGCTCTTCCCGGGGTAGGTGGAGCCCCTGCAGCTGCAGCTGCGGATGCCTGAGCTTGGTGACCACCCTAGATGTTACCCTGAAAGCAGCTTCACAGAACACTGATTTCTGATGCAATTTGTGCCTGCCCAAGGAAAGCAAACATGGCATCCCTATCTCATCTCTGTGGTTTGCCTGCATGTGTTCCCTGAGCATCTTCAGCCCCAAGTGTAAGCAGTGTGACATGGTGTGGTTTAGTTCCAGGTACAGCCACCATCGGTGGGGTCTGTAAAGTCAATGCCTTNTGACAAGTGGTCCTTAGACTTCCCCTGAGGAGTCCATTGTACAAGAAAACATGGAGAACCCTTGACCTAGTGTAACATTTTTGTCTTCCAAGTGAGGAAACTAAGGCAAAGTATTTTCCCAAAGCCTCATGGCTTATCCATTGAGACAGGACTGGAGCCCTTGGCTCCTGGTTCTTTTTGGGGGCTCCCCTCACAATGTGGCACCTTTAAACCCCTACACCCCACCTCTTCTCAGCACCAAACATGTGATGACTCAACAAATATTGTTTTCCAAAAGTTGGGATTTGGACCTAAGGTGTGACTCCCTAACCCGTTAACTATCCAGATTCCTTCTGGAGGTGGCTTAATGAGCTTCCTTCTTCTTGATCCATTTGTCATCTTCTACCTGGCCCTGAATAGAGCACAGTGGCTTCCCTGCTCATTCAGGCCCGGGAGACCAATAGCAATAACAGTAACAATAATGGCACCCTTAACTGAGGACCTACTCTGCATTAGGCACTCTTAGCTTTATTTATTTATACCTCACTTCATCCACAAAGAGGCATTATCCCAATTTTATAGATAATAAGGTTCATAAAAATTAAGTGATTTGTCCAAGGCCACACAGTCAGTTGCATCAAAGACCCAGGCTCTTCTGATGGGTTCAATTACAAGGAGGTTGCTGTTGGGGCCAGAGGTAGGGAGACAGCCAAGGAATAGTGTCTCCCAGGTTTGAAGGACACAGTGACTTGTTGCTGCTCTTCCTGGGGTAGGTGGAGCCCCTGCAGCTGCAGCTGGGGATACCTGAGCTTGGTGACCACCCTAGATGTTACCCTGAAAGCAGCTTCACGGAACACTGATTTCTGATGCAACCTGTGCCTGCCCAAGGAAAGCAAACATGGCATCCCTATCTCATCTCTGTGGTTTGCCTGCATTGTTCCATGAGCATCTTCAGCCCCAAGTGTAAGCAGTGTGACATGGTGTGGTTTAGTTCCAGGTACAGCCACCATCGGTGGGGTCTGTAAAGTCAATGC